ACTATATGTAGCAAAATATTTTAAATTTTTTGTTATTTTCATTCGTATTGTAAAGCAAATGCATAAAATTTGCCTTCTAGTATATATATATAATGTATAACAATAAGAATCAGCAGATGAAAGGAAATGTAATTCAAAAAATTGGTTTGTTTATTGCCTATACTGCGGACACGAAAAACAAAACTTCAAAAATCAAACATATTTTATCAATTGATAACAAATAATTTATAAATGCGATTTTGTTTACCTTTTTGCCAATTCTTCTGCTGCTCTTACCGACCAGTCAACAACTGCAATGGGCTCTACTTCACTTTGGACATCTACTTTTCATGATTACTTCATAGAACTGGTCATGTTCGCACGTTTGTATTGTACAAAATCTGGCCACCAATAAGTTTAAGCAAACATTGCACTGGTACTATTTCGTGGAAAAGGTACTGTCACTTGTCAACTGTGTGTTCATGACCAACCATTGTAAAGGATGTAAAGAATCAGAGCATTRAAAATTCATTGCGATCAACTCAGTGTTGGGAGTCCTCTTATCGAGAAACAAACTTTTTCAACGATTTTGATTTTAATATCGATATAGTGAAAAGTTTAAATTGTTAATGATGCCAACAGCTAATCCTTCCATTTAATCCTACTTTGCTTTTTATTGACACAAGAGCAGCTTGAATTGAAATGTCTAGTCTGTAGTTGTTTTTAGACCGCATTTTCAATAGTACCTGCCAACTAAAGCTAAAACATGGTAGAGCCATTCCTAGTAAGATTACTTGCGTGACGTTTTAGATATTGAGTTTGACTAATCTTCCTTGATTTATTTAATCAMAATTAATAGAAACATTTAGTAATATTTCTGAGTAGATATACACGGAGTCACGGATTTAGGGCCAGGAAGCCCTGTTAGGTTTGATGATGTTAGCCAATTGCAAACGAGGTGACTTCTGGAGTGTACCATCTGCAGTGGTGTACCTGGTTTTGTTTCGGCGCACTTGTATTGTACAAAATCTGGCCACCAAAGTTTAAACAAACATTGCACTGGTACTATTTCAATGAAAAGGTACTACTGCCACTTGTCAACTGTGTGTTCATGACCAACCATTGTAAAGGATAGAGTCTAGGGGTATTAAAAAATAATTGCAAAAAATTCGATGTTGGGGGTACTTGTGTCAAAAATAACTGACAACTTTTTATCGATTTTGATTTGAATATCGAAATAACGAAATATATAATATTCAATATCTATGAATTCTTGCCTTCAATGTAATTTTTCTTTTCATTGAAAACAAAACCAATTTATCATCGACGTCTAATTCTTCCACAATCTKTCATTATTTTACCTATTAATCTCTAGTCCGGAATATTCTTGCGTTACAGGGGAATCCCCGACTATATYGAAATAACCTTATGGAAAATTCTTAGTATAGCGCTTTTAACATGCGCATACACTTCGATGTTTTGAGTGAGCTGAAAGGTTTTCCAAGAAACGACCTCAGCTTGACGCGAAAGAGGACTCAAATTAAATTCAGGTAAGAAATTCCACTTATGTCTATGTTATATTTGTTGCGCAATTTTGTGAGAATTAATGCACTTTCAAAGAATTAAAGATAGAGTCATCGTTGAATACTGCTAACTCATCCATACGAGTGTATCAATAGGAAGGAATTTCATTGCTCTCTGGCATTTAGATTCTAAGGTTTACTCTTTGCTTAGTTTTAATATTTGCTGTAGTTCGAAAGATATTAGCCTTAGAATTAAAAAATCCATTTATTCTTCAATTTAAACTGCTTATTCAGCCATTTCCTTGAAGTGATTGAGGTGACTGAGTAAGCATAAAAATCACTGTTGATTTGAAAACATTTTCCCGAAGAATAACTGCAGCTGTGTGTATGTATTTGAGTTGTGTTGAATTCTCTCAATGTTCGGACTTATAATTTTCTTACCTACAAGAACCGCTCGTAGTTTCTCTAAATAAATAAAGTAAAAAAATGTAATTTTAARCCACAATTCTAGATTTAGCTCATGGACTAAAATGCCGATTTGATTTTCGGACCTATAGTAATAAATTCAGGGCATGATGAACTTGCCTAAGCGSGAACTAAGCAAATTTGTAGATTTTAGATGCAAGATCACGAAATGGAAACATCCTTTAGGAATGCGATAGGGCAAGACTTTTCATGCAAGACAAACCCATAACATTTGGCAAAAGATTAACCACTGAATACGACTATGTAGTAATTGAGTGAACAACTATACATGGAGTATGTGAAATTTAGTCTAAGAGCTGTTAGGTTCTTAGAAACACTGAAAAAGCTGCTCTTTACTTCTTAGGGTATTAAGCCCAAAAAGCGACYAGCTGTAGTTGTTGCCATAATGCTGGAAACGACTTGTTTAAAGWCATAATACAAGTAAAGCTATAGTGTTATTTTAGATAATTGCATTCATGGCACTTTCGCTTTGTGCCATGCATAGTTGAGCTCTGTGGAGAAAAATAACATACGAAATATGGTACATAATTTAGAGTAAAGAAGCAATATGTTGAATCTATCCGACTACATTTTTTTATATGACTCATTGTTATGACCGAGCAGTACAGATTCTATTACAAGGAATTATTACTAAGGAAGTATGCTGAACTCAAGCCTTTCGGACACCCCAGTTCTGACCGTACCCCGTCATTTTGAAAACCAATAATCCAAAAGAAAGTATTGCCCCTAATTCGCYATTAAGGCCCCTTAAGATGTCTGTTGCAACCAGTGTGAACTGTGGATTCTTAAATTCCGAGTAGAAAGTGAACCAATTGTATTTTCTTGTTACAAGCGAAACGATCTAGTAATTTGATATCTGCTCTTTGCTCCAACTTTGATACAACATATTCTTGCCTCAGAAAAGTTGATGTCCGAATTCAGCCTACTTCGACCTTAAAAATCCTTTAAGAAATAAACTTCTTTGAGCACTGACATCTGTCAGCCTTTCTGCCAAATTGCAATAAWTTTTAGTGCGCCTATTCATTAGAAAGAACTGGCAATACTCAAAATTGGAATATTGATCATTCCGTCTCACTCAAAGGAATCGGTTTCTTAATTTCATCCATTATTTAAAGTAAAACTTAGAAAACTATTGAATATMCATAACAAAACACAYCATTTACCTCTAAACTGAGTGSTCTGCCTAGTCAATTCTGTTTACTTAAATGAAAAGCGCCACGACAACAGTCCGCCATCTTGRACTCGAACATRGCGGCCGAACCAAGAACAGAAAAGAACTTAACTTTTTAACCACTTTACTGTTTATTATAGAATTAATGCAGTAAAGAATGAAKGACAAACCGAAAAGATTCTTGTTATGAAAATTCGAAAATTTAAAAAAATCAAAAACCCGACAAATAGGTACAATAGCTTACATCGTTTATTACAAGCCGAAATGACCTTATTAAGTAAAAAATCTTAATATTATAAATTCGGTATGAATAACTCTTGTTGTATATCAATAGATTGTTAAGTTCTTAGCGTAGAATAGTAGTCAGGAAGGCTCAATGAAAGACTTATGACAACTTGTGTATGGTATTTTTAAAACATAGTTAGTAGAGGGTACTATGATATAAATTTACTGTCGCTTATCGACTTCCTGGTTTGCTATAGGCGTCCACTTTTCAGATTTAAATATTATAGCGGAGCTCCCGCGCGGGCCGAAGGCCCGCGCGAGCGGAGCACCATAACTAAGGAAAAATGGTAAACCCATGGAGTTGAGTTTTGATCAACCGACACAGGAAGCCCAGTTGTCCTTCCGTCCGTCCGTGTACATCGCGATTGTGATTGGCTACTTTTGAGAAGGCGGGAAAAGGAAGCGCGCTCGCGTCAATTGTTGAAACAACTTTTTCACCACAACGACTCCATCTAATTTTTGTCCTTTCAAATACTTTACTTCTGCGCCAAATGTCGGAAAATCAACGGGTAGCTAACGGAAAGCGATCTTTATCTGAAGAAGAAAAGACAAGAAGAAGAGAAAGAGAGCGTCGAAGAAGTCTAAATGAAGAACAACGCAGGCTTGAAAGGGAAAACGTGAGAGACGAAACAATCAAGTTTATTAAGACTCAAGCAAATCGAGAAACAAGTGAACGCCAAAGACAACGATTATTGATGGAGAATTTCTCAGAGGAGAACTGACATATTCTCCGACGATACCGTGGCGTTATTAAACAAATGGCGGTATGTTAGATTATATGTGCAAGCGGTTTTTGGTGCTCAAATTATATATCAATTCTTCTACTTCAAGAACCTTTTGGCAGTTTTAATCTGGTTTAAATTTGCTTTTGAATTTGAAAATCTTCACCTGATACACTTCAAAACTTCTCAGTTAAATGAGCTTTTTGACAATGAAAATATGTGTGAATTGTGTACACGTACATTCTATCCACAATAATAATCTTCTTTGACATAAAACTACTCGGATGTTTTAATTTATAAAACTATGCATTTTGAAAAGAGAGCCTTGATATTATTTGAATGTTCAGATTTTTACTCTTTATTCGACTTGTCGTACAAAGTGCAGGCCATCCCTGTCGTACAGGTCACCACTAAGGTTTT